ACACATGTGGTTGCTCGCTCCGGTGTCGAGGTACCAAGTGTCATCTTGTCTTCCTTCTTCTCCTTTGTAAGCTAAAAGCAAACTTGTTTTGGCTTCATCTTTGCTCTCGACGAAATTCGCCTTCTCTTCAATGTTAAGCCTTTGGCTTCTGCACTCAGAAGCAAAATGTCCAAATTTATGACAATTATAACATTTTGAGGAAGACTTATCGTACCTCGATTTTTGGTTGCTCCTTCCTCGACCGTACTCTTTCTTTTCATAATTGGTATAGCCACCTCGTCCGCGTCCTTGGCCTCGACCTTGTCCTTGGCCACGACCTCTCCAATATTCACCACGGTTGTTGCTCGGCCCTTCATCCTTTTCTTTCGAGCTCACTTGCATTTTAAAAAGTTGTTCTATAATATCTTGCTTCTTTTTATGTTTTTCTTCGTAATCTTGTAATGAGCCCATTAGCATATCTATCGACATCTCCTCCAAGTTTTTTGTTTCTTCAATTGTTATAACAATATGCTCAAATTTTGGAGTTAATGAGCGTAATATTTTTTCCATTATTCTAACATCCTCCAATGTTTCACCATTTCTTTTCATTTGATTTGATACCGCCAATACTCTAGTAAAATAATCCGATATAGATTCGGATTCCTTCATATTAAGGGATTCAAATTCACCTCGTAAAGTTTGGAGACGTACCTTCTTTACTTGCTCGACGCCTTTGCACGAGACTTGTAACTTATTCCAAGCTTCTTTCGAGGTGGATGCGCTTGAGATCTTCTCGAAATCGTCATCTCCCAATGCTTGGTAGATAAGGAAGAGAGCCTTCTTATCCCTCTTCCTTGAATCCCTTAGCCTTTCCTTTTGTTGTTGGGATAGTGTTGCTTCATCCGGCGGTTCCTCGTACCCATTCTCTACAATCTCCCACACATCATGAGCTCCTAGTAGAGCCTTCATTTTAATACTCCAATTATCGAAGTTGCTCTTGTTGAGAATCGGGACTTGAAAGGATTGTAGGTTGTTTGCCATTAGGGAATGAACTTGGCTCTGGTACCACTTTGTTGGAATATGTATATATTATGTATGTGAAAGTTGAATAAAATAAGTAATGTGAAGATGGTTAGACTAAGA